ATTATATACTTTATAAAAAACAGGCAGTATACAAAATTCGAGATTATACCAGTTTTACCCCAGAAAAATTATTTACTAAGTAGCACCCGAACATTTGTCTATGAGTACGGCCGCTAACACACTACTTATCTTCGTCAATGCTGCTTCAGCTGGCTTGTTAATCTCGTTACTCTAGCCAAGCTTACAGAGGTAGCCCTGTCACTGCAATCGCATATCGAGTGCACTACACCAATCTTACATGCGAACCGCATTTACATGGTTAGTTAAACACAACCAATGCGCAAGAATCGGACCCAAGATGCCAGAGAGGTAAACGAATCTTGTCCAATCTCGTGCCAAAAGGAAGAGGACAGACATACAGAGTGGAAGGTCTGCTCGTATTCAGTCCGATGGACAATTTCAGGCAAAGTAATAGGTAAAGTGAGACAGATGAGAGATGTACAAGAGGAGAGGAGAGAGATGAAGACAGAAGATAGTATGAGAAAGAAAACCGACTTCCATAGTGTAGAGAAAAAGCAAGATGTAGTAAGGACGATTGCACAAGATACAAGATAGCATGATCAACGAGGTCAACACACAGCAGTGAACAAAATCAACAAGAGAGAGAGACGAGACAATCATGCAGCGTCTCGATGTAAGAGCGAGCAGAGAGAGTATGCATCACGGTAGATCAAGACACTGAGTGCAAACATGAAGGAGAGCGAAGCACACTTCAGACCAGATTAACACACTTCCAAAAAGGAGGAAGGAAGCAGGATGAGACTAGAGTAACTATTCAAGAAGAGAAGAGAACAGAGAGTCACATGAAGAAATGAGATGAATGATAGAAGAGAGAACTAGAAGGTCAGAGCAGAGCAATGTGAATTGTGTGGTTGGTGATACAGATGATAAGATGGTATGACAATAGCTCACCGAGAGTTATTGAGAGTAGAGAGGCTGTAAACTCAGATCAGTGATGGCGGGGTTGCATTGTTCAGTCCTCTGATCTGTTTGCATATATGGGAGGGGGGGTGTTACACACTGAGAATGAAATGAGAGAAACAGTTAGTAGAGAGAGATGAAGATCGACCACCAGTAGACACGCGCAAGCGAGACAGAAGAGAGAACCAGAGAACAGAGAGAGAGAGACAGGAGAACAGAGAGAGAAGAGACAGTATGAGGATTTTCCTGCAGTCTATTAAGGACGCACTTACGTCCTCCCCGAGCGATTCTACGACAGACACATATGATACCATGCTACTCTTATATTCAATATGTCTCGATCTTGATCGATTTAATATATCAAAACAGAAATTCTTTCTTATTTTATAATCTACATTTCATTGTGATTTGTTTTTGTGCGTCAAGTGATCAGAAACAGAAAAACTGAAGTGTTCAGTGTTTGCATGTGCTGCATGTCGGCCTTTCACTACCAACACGACACAAGTAATTCACGTTCAGCTGACTTCAACCAACAAGAAGGGAAATTCCACATTTTTATTTTCTACACAATACCAAATAATTAGTCTCAATCTATAAACTTAGCGAAGGGCTCTGGTTGATAATATATGCATGTTTACCTAAGCCCCTACCATAAAAACTGAATCATCAAAACCAAGACTGACCGTCCAAAATGTCCACGGAAGTGGAAAGACCAAGACGAAAATTCACCATATGGGAGCTATTCAGTCATATGATAATAGACGACATATATATCAAATTTATATATAATATTTCTAAAATAGATAACATTTAATTACCTACCATGGAAGGACTATTTTCTTATGTACATTTAGAATTTATTATATTAAACTCTCCCCTCCTCATGAATAAAAGGTACTTTTAGATTTTAGGATCTTGTACAAAACCGATTTTATAAGCATGTTTAAACAAAACATAATCCTATGAATGGTCAGGTCCCCTTCCTAACGTCCGCCGCAATTTAAGACCTAGAAATCACAGAGCAGTAACTCATTGGTTCTCGATCTTTCCTTTGATTCGTCAAAGTCAAACGTTAGCCATCAACTACAGTGAGATGTCAATGAGGTCAGAGTCAATTGAAAACAGGTCCCAATGAGTCAGAGTCAATGGTATAATGATCATAACTCCTCCAGTCAACCAATAGAGGTACACAATGGAGTCTTAGACACGATCTGTACGCTGGCAGCCATGGAGTCAGAAGTCAACTGGATTTCTTTCTAATGGTAACAGAGTCTCAATATGCATCCCAACTAGAATCTTATCCCCCGCCAATCAACGACTTCCCCGACGTCATTTGTATTACCCTCAACTTTACTAGTTCATACTGGAGTAGAGTCAATGAGCAATAGATCGTAGTCAATAGAGTATGATTGATGATCAGTAGTCAATAGTAATGGTCAGATGTCATAGAGTTAATGAATCAACCAGAACAGTACAGAGTAATAGAGTTCAGGACCAATCAAGAGTCAAAGAGTCAGATCATATATAGTCAACAGAGTCATGAAGATCATTAGTGATGAGTCAAAGCAAACCTAGTCATAATATTCATAAGTCAATATATGTCAATGAGTCAGACGAGGCGTCTGTAATAAGATCTCAAAGTTTTTTACAGCTATAGACCTAACCCTTGCTGCTGCAGTCAGTGTCCATATATCTCTGCCTCTATCAGCGCCTGCAGCAGAGAGCTCTGTGTGCATGGTGGATTTTACTAATGAACTTATGAGTGTTTATCGATTTTGAGCTCGATGATGAAGCAGACATTATAGTCAGAACGTACAGCGTTCGTCCAGCAGAGCTGACATGCAACATGTCTCTCAGTGGACACTAGGAAGGACACTGACACCGTACAGACACACGCAGGAAAGTAACTCTGAAAACTTACATGTTTTAAAACAAGAAAAATAACATATGTTTGAGACAGTTTGTTCTTCTCTACTCAGTAACTCTATAAGCTATATAATACAATCATATATATATAATGTAAACTCTAAAACAATATAATATATAATTAACTACTTAATATAAAACATATATAACTAATAATAATCTTATAATATATAATATCTATAATTATAAAGTGAGATTTTTTTTAATGGATCATCTCTCGTAAAAGATGAGAGATGACTACATTAAAAAAATCACTCATTTATTTATAGATATTAATATATTAATAGAGTTATTATTATTTATATTATTTGTTTATTAGGTTATTAGTAGTTTACATTTATATATTAATTATTCAGTAGTTAACATTATATTATTATGTATACGTTTTATATTATATGTTATTAGAGTTACTAGTGAGGAGAACAGAAGTGTCTACCACCACATGTTATTCTTCATAGCTGTTCGAGTCTTTAGCGCATGTTTCTGAGGCTGGCAGTGTTGTCTGGTGTCCACTGAGAGCTGTTGGCCGCAGCTCTCTGACCGCTGTTATGGGTCTGACAAGTCTAATGTCTGTCTTCATCATCTGAGAGCTCAAACATCAGATAAACACTCATAAAGTTCACTTGTAAAATCCCACAATGCACCACAGAGCGTCTCTGCTGCAGGCTGCTGATAGAGGACAGAGATAATGGACACTGACTGACAGCAGCAGGGTTAGGGTTCTATAGCTGTAAACAAACTTTGAGACCTTCACATACAGGACTGGACCTCAGTCCTGACTCCATTGACTATATTGACTCTATTGACTATATGGACTGTGTTTGTATTGACTCTCACTATATTGACTCTATTTCCATTGACTCTGTTGACTCTATTGACTCTGACTCTATTGACTCTTGACTCTGCGTCCATTGACTCTATTGACTCTGTTGACTGTTTCTGTTGATTCAATTAACTCTATTGACTCTGACTCCATTGACTTTATTGACTCTGACTCATTGACTATTTAATCTATTAACTCTATTGACTCCACTGACTCTATTGTCTCTATTGACTCTGACTCCATTGACTCTATTGACTCTGTTTCCATTGACTATTGACTCTTTTTCCATTGACTCTGACTCTATTGACTCTGTTTCCATTGAATCCATTGACTCTGACTCCATTGGCTCCACTGACTCCTCTGACTCCATTGACTCTATTGACTCTGTTTCCATTGAATCCATTGACTCTGACTCCATTGACTCTGTTTTCATTGACTCTGACTCCATTGACTCTCACTGTATTGACTCTATTGACTCTGACTCCATCAAAAGTAAAACCAATGAGTTACCTGCTCTGTGTTTCTAGTGCTTAAATTGCGCTGGACGTTAACATACCTGGGTATCCATTTATATTATGTTTTGTTAAATGCTTAATAAAACGTTTGTACAAAGATCCTAAATCCTAAAAGTACCTTTTATTCATTGAGTATATAATTCTAAATGTAATAAGAAATAGGTCCTTCCATGTGGTAATTTTACATGTTTATTTATTTTAGTTATATAATGATATATATGTCTGTCTTATATATCTGATAGCCCCATTATGGTGACATTTCGGTCGGTCTTCACAACTTCCGTGGACATTTTTGACGGTTCAGTCTTGGTTTTGAGATTCAGGTTTAGGTAAGGGGTTAGGAAATGCATTATATCAACCAGAGCCCTCGCAAGTATAGAGAGACAAATGTGTGTGAGAAAAAAATGTGGATTTCCCTTCTTGTTGCTGTTGAAGTCAGCTGAAGTGAATTACTGTGTGTGTGTGGTAGTAAAGCCGACATGCAGACACATGCAACTGAACACTTAGTTTTTCTGTTTCTGAATCACTGACGCACAAAACAAATCCACAAGATGTAGATTGTTTTCTAAAACTTTAAATTATCTGTTTGATATATTGAATCGATCAGATCACTATTAGGGTTACAGTGTGTGTGTGTGTGGGGGGGGTAAAGGGTTTAAAGCTGAGGAATGTGAGGGACAGCTGTGAAATATAACACATATACCAGTGTGTAACACCCCCCCCTCCCATATATGCACACAGACACCTGAACACTGCAACCCCCCATCACTGATCTGAAGTTTACACCCATAAACGTGAGCATGTAAACATCAACATGTAAACAACACACATTAACATGGAGTTGAACTTTAACAATAGTTTATGATGATTTTATTTTGAAAGTACTACAGTCTTCCTTTGTTGAAGTGAGTTAATCTGTCTGAAGTTGCTAGCCTTATGTTAGCACTCAGCTAACACGTAGATATCATGCTGGTTTTCTAAAGAGAAGCTGCAGATGTCTGTTGATTGTAGGTTGACTGAACTTGAAGTATCTTGTACATTGAGCAAATGCTTAAATGCTGTATTTTCTACACTAAGTCGGTCACATATCCATAGAGATTAACTCTCTGTATCATTACCTATTACTTTGGCCTGAATCTTCACATAAACGCAACCGTCCACTCTGTTTCTGTCTCATTCTGCCAATGGACACATTCGTTTCACTAATCTTGGTCCATTTTCGCTGTAACTAACCAGTAAATGCTCCAGTGAAACATTGTGTTTGCTTATGGATTGCAGTGACACTACCTCTGTAAGCTTGGCTAACCGGGTTAACAAAGCCAAGCTGAGCAGCATGCTATAGTGTGTAGATAACAATTGGTGCACTGTCAAACTTTCTGGGTAAAACTGGTAATCTCGAATTTCTGTTCTGCCTGTGCGAGTAGTGGACTGACTATTTTGACAGGAATTATTTAGATCCCAGTGCAAACTGAACTGAGTAGTACAATGTAGATGACAGCATGTTCAGATCCAGTGTTTCTTTCACTGTAGATGACAGTATGTTCAGATTCAGTGTTTCTCTCACTGTAGATGACAGTATGTCTGGAGCAAGTGTCTCAGATGTCAACGATCGTCTTTCTGCTCTGGAGCTTCGTGTTCAGCAGCAGGAAGATGAGTTGACGGTGATGAAAGCAGCTCTTGCTGACGTCCTTCGCCGCCTCGCTGCCTCTGAAGTCTCTGCTGCCTCCTCAACCAAGAAACAACATGGAGGGAAAGGTAATGTTTTATTGTTTTTCATTGGATTTCTGTGTGTTTATGTCCTACTATGCTGATGCATTAATTCAGCTGACCAACATTTTTCTCCATAATTAAAAACAGCTAAAACTAAAAGCATCCTGTAATCCCAGCAGATAAGCACAAGTCACTGTTAATATATAATTCATAGAGCATATTAGAGTAACTTAGTATCTGTGCTAGTAGAGACAAAGTACATTTCACCCACCGATCATTATGGGTGAGGGTTCAAAAGGGCTCATAATACAAACTGAATAGACTACTCAAATATGGCACTTAATATTTCATTAATACATGCCAAAAAGTTTTTTACCTTTTTTGTTTTGTTTCAGTTGGGTTGTGTGTCCCACTGTACCTGCATTTTAAAATGTCTTTTCTATGCCCTGTGTACATGAGGTTGGCCTAGATGATCTCTTCATAGATCAAATGAATAATTGACACGTTATTCAATAGCCTAAATTCTATACAAGTGGTATTAGGGCTGTCAAGTAATATTATAAATTTGATTTTATAACCAATTTGCACTGTAAATTAGGGACTGTAAACTGAACTCCGATCACATCCCTCCACTAAAATGCCACATGCTTTGGTCATATTCAGTCTGTAACTGGTCACGTTCAGTTTTTTACTGGTTATAGTATATTGAGTTAAGTGAATATGATCAGTGTGAACAGCAATCTACTGCCCCCTGCAGGCGGTGCTGCACTACGTGAAGCATACTCGATGTCCTGTATCGCTAACGGAGGAACATCTGGACGAAAGAGAGACTCCACGTCCGTCACCAGGAAAGAGACGGTGTCATCCGCCGCCAAGAGGTAAACACATACACACACGCCTTCAGCATCCGTCTGATAATGACAATTACTTTATTTGTAAGGATTCCTCTCTGGGCCAGTTTTAGATTGGTTACACTTTTCTTGTTATCATTTATAATTATTTTTATCCACAGTGCTTTGATTTCATCTTCCAGAGTGTCTGCAGACCAGATCATGTCGATCTGGCTGATGTTATTGATAAAATCAAAGACTCTGCTGTTAGGGTAAGGCCCAGTGGTCTTGTCCTGCAGTAGAGTGGTATCATTAGTAGTACAGTAGAAACAGCAGAATCAGTAGTCTGTGGTTTCTCATGGTCCTGGTTTTGTTCACAGTGGAGCAGACAGGAAGGAAGAGGTCGGCAGCCAGCAGTCGCAGATGGATTTTGGTGGTTTGAATCACTGTAGTAAACCCAGTAGAGTCAGTAGAAATACAGTAGTAGTGATGTCACGAGAACTGAAATGCCAAGTCAATGCCAAAATTCTGCAAACTTGACAGTACTTGCTTTTCTACAGTACCATAGGTGGCCGAGGCTGAGCTCCTGGTCAGAGCAGTAGAGAGCTGCACACTCACCATGCCAACAAAAATCCAATAAGGGTCATTAATTAATGTAATCTGAGGAAAATAGTTCATTCAGTCGACTCAGGTAAAGACTGCAGCTACAGACGGTCTGCAGGAATATCCTACTGTGTTATTTAGTATAAAAACAAGAAGGAACTGCTTTTTATCTTAATGCACTGCAGAGATATTAACCTGTATTAATAAGGAACATACAAGTATTGATCAGAACTGTATCAGCGGATAATCAATATTAAATGGGTATCGGGGCAATAAAACTTGATTGGGACATTTTACTGTGGTATCTAGAATGGAGTTTCAAGGGTACTGGTATGGACTACTAAGTTTCTGGTATCGAGACATCCCTACACAGTAGAACCAGTAGAACCAATAGGACCGTATGTGTATGTATGTCCATTTATGTAGAGTAGAATTGGTAGTTTGTGGTCTCTCATGGTCCTGGTTTTGTCCACAGTGGAGCAGACAGGAAGAAGGAGACCAGCAACCAGCGGTCTCTGATGGAAGAGATCCAGGAGCGTGAGGAGTCTCCTCGCCCAAAGGACCCGTCCCCCTCTCCCTCCTCCCCCCACCCTCCCCCCCTCCAACCCAGCAACTCAGACCCACTACACGGCCCTCAGAGACGTCCCAGTCCACTGACAGCAGTCAAAGGCCACACCGCCTCCCAAAAGGTTCCCACCTTTGTAAACCTCCTCTCTTTCGCTCGTCACGCTACGCGACAGCCTCTCTGCTCCGCTACACCCCTGACTACCTGGTTGCTTTTATTTTCCTCTTTTCTTCTCATTTCAGATAAATGTTGACAGGGACAGGACTGGTGGTTTCTCACGACTAGGGTCTGGAGTGATCCTCTTGGAAGATCCTGTTCACCTCTCTGCTGGTAGACCAAGCCCTCTCAACCTCAACACCTGGGCTCTCCAGTAGCGGCTTTTCCATCAGCCTCTCTTCACTCGACTCTCTCACTCTCTCACTCACTTTAACCCACCGCAACATTGCCCAACGAAGATGCCCTTTGGAGTTCATTCCAATGTGATCTCCAACCTGCCTTCCAAGCAGCCCATACATTGTCGTTCATGAAACTGGTTAACTGTGAAATAGTGTGGAGCAAAGCTTAGTTAGCAGTCCTCACCTCCACCCTTCCATCAACATGAGTTTCTCGAACTTCAACTGTCAATTCTTGTAGCGCTCTCATCGCAACATCACTCCTCTCTAACCCCTAAACCCCACCCTTACAGCAGGTAGCACTGTTGTTCGTGGAAATGCTAAATCCCTTGCCGTGCTGGGCTGGCTGAGCCGAGTCAAACAGGCATGTGTGTCGTGCTACTCCACTGCCCCCGCGTGCGAAAACACTTTTGGAGATCCTCGAGGCTCTGATTCCTTTGCGCCCCTTCTCCGCGCTCTCTTTACTCTGCTGGTAGCAAGCTCAAGGCTGGGCTGCGTGTTTTGATTCAAATCACTAACCTGTTCTTCTCCCAGCTTCACCTCTGGACTCCTCCTCTTCTTCCTCCTCCTCTTGCTGTTCCTCCAGCCAGGTCGCCCTGAAGTCTTCTGATGCCTCCCCCAGCTCACTAACGCTCTTCCTGGTCATGACTTCCCTTACCCCCCCAGACTCTGCCACCCCACTGAGATTACAGAATCAGAAACATGAATACTTTGAACTAATCAATCAGTTTAAAAGTTAAACGACTCAATCGCTGCATCATGACTGGTTACATTTTTGACTGCTCTCATCAGATTCCATATCATCTCCCCACCTCCTAGGGAGTCAGGGCAGTATGTTGTTACAATAGAAGGACAAGTGTATGACGCCTCGCAGGTGGCGCTAGATGCCAAAAATCCTGGACAACTAAACGTTTTCATACCCATCCATCCCCAATACGTTTTCTTGCAGACTACTTTCCAGTCTGGAACCCCCTCCCGTAACTGTTCTGAATGTGCCGTCTCCTAGATTGATCCGCATCTTGTTCTCACCTGCCAAACCTGCTTCCAACCTCAAAACTAATAAGAGGGATCATCAGTGTTATCGATTGGGGTCCAGTTTCATATTGACAGCTACCTGCACCCTCCGGCCTGGCAATGAAACTGATAGAACTGAATCCCACATATGTTATCGTCCTATGACTGGAACCAGAGGACAAGGACAAAATGTTCGCATTCAGCTTGTTTGCCTGTTTGCTTCACAGACCATCAGCCAACTACACACCCAATCAATAAATCAAAGATTAAGGTCAGAGCAAAAAAACATTAAAGTGATCTGAACTCAGATGAACTACCCAGTGACTCTCCTCCTCCACCTGCCCCTGCCTGATGTTTACCTGTCATACTGGGTCCCATCGTCCGCCGGGCCCAGTGCTGACCAGGCGGCCCCCCTCCCACGGTCATCGGAAGCCGTTCTCAGATGCAGCACTCTTGGGACACTTCAGATGACAAACCGGACAAACTGGTGAAAGCGGCCGATCCACCTCCAACTGCGCTCGCCAAAAGTTTGCCAAGCAACGCTGGAAGGCTAATACACCCCATGTATTTTTATAAAAAATATATACTAATCATACAAACATCATCACATTTGAATCACCCTACACACAGTGAGCTCCTGCCATTACACTGATCTATCTGGGTTATCAAGGGCTCTGTCAGTGGCGGGGGGGGGTATATCATTACGAAGATGGGATTTACTGGCTCTTTGACGGTGAGCCGGATCTTTGAGAAACCTTTCCTTTCACAGACGCTTTTCACAGGAACTTCG